CCTGCTCTCAACAGCGAAAGAAGCGCCAAGTCCTGCCTGAGTACCCCGGGGGTTAAAACCTCCCAACCCGCCTCGCTGGGGTTAAGCCATGAGCTCATCTCTCCTGCTGCCCGATGGGCTCTGCCAGCAGGCTCTGCCCACAGCTCTGCTGCCATCAGGGTGGCTGCTCAGGGAGGAGGCCGGGCACAAGGCAAGGGGTGCAGAGTCACCCCCAGTGCCCTTGGTCAAACTCCTGGCCCCTCAGCACACTGTCGTCACCCAGGGTCCCCCCAGGCTCCCCAGTCCTGCTGCTAGAGCCAGGGACCGTGGCACCATCTGCCGAGTACAGAAAGAATGACCTCCAGGCCACAGCACAGCAGTACCGTCCTCTGCTCTGCCCGGGACACATCTTGCCCAGCACAGAGATCTGCCCTCTCACTTTGAGGGGGTACAAGAGCTCTGGAGACAGCCAAGGCCACGGTGACACACTCCCCAGCTTTGAAGAGGAGAGACACGCAGCCAGACTTTTGCAGAGCTGAGACCGAGGGCCGGGGGACTGGCAAATATCTGCCTCCCTGGCAGCTCTGGATACGGCCCCTGGTGCTGCGCCAGAGCAGGCACGTTGCCACATGTTTGCACAGCTCAGGCGGTGGTGTGGATGCGCATCCACCGAAACCTCTGCGGCTGGGCGGGTGGCGTGCTGGGAGCACTCTGGAAAAGCTGCTCCGGCACACACCTCCTGCTTAGCCAAGAACCGGCTCTGCTGGAGAGGAGACGCTGGTTCCTCCCTCCGACACAGGAGCCAGCCTGACGAGGCACCGGCTGACTCAGAGCCCTGCCAGCCAAGTCACTCCTTCCACGAGGCCGCACCCCGGCCCTCCAGAACAGGGGATGAGACAAGGCAGATACGAGTGCAGCACATCGGGGTGCTGTCACGCGCACGTACCCGCGATGCGGCTCCCGTAGGCAACTCCCACCGTGCAGAAGCTGTTGTTTGGCACAGCAGCAATCTCCCCGGCACAGCGGGTCCCGTGGTGGTTGCCGTTCTCCTCATCAGGGTGTGGCATGGGGTCGGGATCGTTGGAGTTCAAGTCATAGCTGCCTTCTGGGCTCTGAAAACAGACTCACAATCACGATTCAGGGCTCTGCTCTTGTCTCTTTGGGAGAAGCAGGGCTTAAGGGCATGCTAGGTGGGCCAAAACACAGCCTGCAAGACACAGGAACTCAGAGCAGGACTGTCATCAGGATTGTGGGCTTGGACACTGCTGCCAGGTCCAGGCTGGGACTTTTCCTCTTGTGTATTCTCTTGTATCTTTAAATGTATTTGCATACTCGTATAATACCTGTATATAGATTAACATCTTCACTGTTAGCGTTATTCTTCTTTTTCATTAAACTGATTCAAGCTTCTTTCCAACCTTGGAGTCTCTCTCCCTGGTTGCCCTGTTATCCTCCCCTGGGAGGGTGGGGGATCACAGAGGGTGTCTGTCCAAGTTTAGTGGCCAGCCCAGCCCTAAACCTTGACAGCTGGTAACCCTGCAGCTCGGTTGCGCAATCTCTCAGGGAAACCCTCCTGCCTGCCCTGGCGCCCTCCCGCCGCGGAGCCAGCACTCACATAATTGGGCTGTATGTCCTTGATGGTGTGCTCCACGCCATCGTCCACCACCACCACCGTCACGCCGTGCCCCGTCACGTTCCGCTCCCAGACGCCCGTGACATTGATGTCCTTCCCGGGGCTCTTGCGGTTGTTCTACGTGCCACAAAGGGCAGCGAGGGGAGAGAAAAGCGGAGGAGTGGGTCAGCTGTGCGGAGAGGGGTTCCCAGACCTTTTGGGTGTGCTGGCTGCAGCATGCAGGGCCAGAGCCGGGCTGGGGGAGCACGAAGAAGTCACAGGCGATCTGCTTGACGTGGATAGCAAGCAGCAGTCACAAGAGCCACGAAGCGGAGTGCCTGGTGCTGCAGGGCTGCCACCGCGCTCCAGCCGAAACCCCTCTGCCCACCCCAGCAGCACCAGTGCGGGACCAGCTGCGGGAGCTGCCTCCTCCCAGCATCGCAGCGAGCGCACGGTGAGCAGAGGTAGCTCTAGGCGTGCTTCCTCCTCACCGCAAGAACAGAAAGCGGCCGGTTTGCCTGCCCTGTGGCAGCTGTCTTGTGGCCACGCAGGGGCCTGAGCCGGAAAACCACTCACCAGATGCCACTGCTGGGGGTATTTGGGATCATTAAAGTGCAGGCTGCGTTTCGAGCGTTTCAGAAGCTTCTGTTCCGAGTGCCACCGCACGCTGTCGTGCTGTGCAAATAAAGTGTCCACCGATCGCCTTATTGCTTCGGGTTCGCTTGCCGCGTGGCCGTCG